AGCCGACACGAAACTGTTCCCCGGTACCGGGGAACAGTTTCGTGTCGGCTACTGGTACCAGTACCGGGGAACAGCTGATCAGCTACGTGAGGTAAATGTTCGCTACGTCACAACTTATTCAGCAAGTGTTTCCATCTGTCCTTTTGCGCATTAATTGTTTTTCGAAAAACTCAAAAACCACCTCAAGCGAACGTAAAAACTTTTTTTCCGCATTTTTAATGCGACATTTCTAAATGTGCATCAAAAAGCCTTGATGGAAACACGGTAATTGTTCTTGGGCAAGGACAGATGAGTGAAAGGACCAGGGCACTTCAGGGGGCCAATCAGATTCCAGATGGGGCCAGGGCCCTTGTGGCCCCGCCCCTAGAACCGCCCCTGCCATCATCTGACAGCAGATTAGGATTTAACGTTCCGTTGGACCCAGTTGTCCCACTGATCAGCTGATTGTTGTCAGGATGAACTGAGRTATCACAGAACCTTAACCAGAACCTCAGCTACATCAGACTGCACCTCGGGGCGACGGAGCCCGCCGACGCCGAGGCCCTGCGACAGGAAGTGGCTGACCTGCAGCAGAAGTTCCACCTGCTGATGGAGGAGAACAGAGAGCTGAAGAACAGGGTGAGGTTCTGAGGGGTCCAGGTTCTGGGGGTCTCCCTCTGACACTAACTTCCTGTTTGTTTTGGTCCTGCAGCTGCTGCAGCTCCAGCCTGATGAGGGCTCTGCAGCGTAGCGGCGCGACACGATCCGAACAAAAACTGCTGAACACTGGAGTCTGTACAGAATGTCAACGTTTATTACATCACAACAAGAAAACTCTTTGATTTATAACCTTCTGATTGGAAATAAACGTGTTTTTTTTCTTAATTTAATGTTTTTTTTAATTACAACTGATTTGATTAATTTGATATAATTTCTGAGATTAAGCATTAAGTAGAAAAATAATCTGGGTTTAAAAACAGCTTCAGATTAAATCCATCAGAACTAACGGGTTTATATAAGACTGAAACTCTTCACATCGATGTTTCCGTTCATCAAACCAAACGAGTCTGACCTGAAACTGTTCCAGCTCTGATCAAATCCACTGTCAGAGCTGTGCAAAAGTCCTGATCCGTGCACGTCTTCCAGAACCGTAGCTTAGGTTTGTTCACAGTGGTCAGGATTTAATCTGATTGTCCAGTTGAAGCTGGGCAGATCTGGACCAGGTTRAACAGAAACTGGTGTTTTTAGATGCAGACAAGAGCTTCAGAGGGTCAGAGTTTTCTTTCAGATGTTCTGTGGCTTTTTTACAGGAAATGAGTTCAAAACTGCAGCAACAAGACCTGCAACAGGTCAGAGTCACAGGTCACAGGTCAGAGAGGCTCAGGTCTACAGGTCTGGGTCTGGTTCTGGTTCAGGTCTGAGGGAGGAGACCGAACTGTTGAAAGAAAGTCTGGTCTCAGATCTGGTTCAGGTCTTCAGGTGTGGTTCGTTCAGGTCTCAGACCTGCAGGTCTGGTTCTGGTCTGGTTCTGGTCTCAGACCTGCAGGTCTGGTTCTGGTTCAGGTCTGGTTCTGGTTCAGACCTGCAGGTCTGTAGCAGCCCTCCTGCTGCTGCTGCTGCTGGCTGCAGACACTCTGCGGTTGGGGGGCGAGGCGGTGGGACTGTTGCTGTCCCGGCTGTGTCGAGACATGGAGCTCAGCTCCCCCACAGAGTCCGGGCTCTGGGACCTGCTGGTCCTCTTGGAGTCCGACTTGGACAGGACCCGGGCTCTGGGTCCGGAGCAGCTGCTGCGGAGCTTCATGCTGCCGCGGTACGAGTCCCCGCTGTCCGAGCAGTTCCCCTCCACCACCGTGGAGCAGTTCCAGGGGGGGCTGGGCCTGCGGGACCTCCTGCCGGCGGGGGCGCCACAGGAGGAGGGGGGGTCCGCGGCGGGCAGGGTGGGGTACTCTGACCCCCCACAGTCCAGCTCCTCCTGCTCCTCCGCAGGAGGGGAGCGCGTCTCGCTGCTGGTGTTGTTGGAGTTGCTGTTCTGCTCCGAGGGGCTCGGGACCCCCTCCTTCACCTCCTGGTGGGCGTCGGCCTGGACTCCGGGGTCCTGGATGGGGACAAAGGCCGAGGAGGCGCTGAGGAGGGGGTATGTGGGGCCGTTGCCCTGCTTCTCCAGCAGTAAGGTGTACCCGCTGGGCACTGTGGGGATGGTGGTCTTCCGACCCACCGACGTCCCCACGCACASCTGGTGGACCACCGAGTTCTTCTTGGACTTGACGCAGTAGTCGTCCAGGTCGTCCTTCAGGTGGGGGTAGTAGTCCAGGATGCCCCTCTTGATCTTCTTGAAGCTCAGGTGCATGATCTCCAGCAGGCTGAGGAAGAGCGAGATGCAGGCGATGACCTGCATGAACATCATGAAGATGGTCTTCTCGGTGGGCCGCGACACGAAGCAGTCCACCACGTTGGGACACGGCTCCCGCTCGCACCTGTACAGCGTGCTGAGGCGGTGCCCGTACAGCACGTACTGGCCCGTCATGAAGCCCACCTCCACCACGGAGCGCGTGACGATGTGGGCCACGTAGGTGCAGAGCAGCGAGCCCCTCAGGGGGGCTTTGTTCAGCTTGCCCTGCTCCAGCTGCCGCATCTCCTTCTCCATCTTCCTCTTCACCTCGGCCAGCTCCGCGTCCACCGCCTCCAGCTCGCGCCGCAGCGCCACCTTCTTGCAGTGGCGCTCCTTCTCCAGGGCGCGCAGCTGGTAGATGGCGTGGCCCATGTAGACCAGGGAAGGCGAGGACACGAAGATGACCTGCAGGACCCAGTACCGGATCAGGGAGATGGGGAAGGCCTGGTCGTAGCACACGTTCCTGCAGCCCGGCTGCTCCGTGTTGCACACGAAGTCCGACTGCTCGTCGTTCCACACGTCCTCCGCCGCCACGCCCAGGACCAGCATCCGGAAGATGAAGAGGATGGTGAGCCAGATCTTCCCCACCATGGTGGAGTGGATGTGCACCTCCTCCAGGATCCCCCCGAGGAAGTTCCAGTCCCCCATCGTCCCTCGTCAGATCTGAGGCAGAAACAGGGAGTTAGGATGAAAGAGCTCACAGAGGTGTGTTACCTTCCGACATTCAGGTAAAGTTTGTTAAAACAGAGAGCTGTTTTTATCTTTAGGGAAGTGTTTACGGAACCCTGGTTTCATACGAGATTAAAGGACGATCCACTTTAATCCAGGGAGTAAGATTATGGAACAGTCTGGAAGACGAGGCTAAAAATACCAGATCTTTGTTAATATTAAAGTGCCTATGACATCAAATTTTTGTAACACATATGAACGCATTTTTTGAAAGACGACACTGATAAATACTACAAAATAAATTTCATGTCGCCGAGGTGAACAGTTGTTGAGATATTTGCCAGTGAAGTAACAGGAAGTGATGTCAGAGGGGAATGTTTACATGTGAACAGAGCTTTGCTAACAGCTAACACAGACTAGAGTGTAGTGGTCACCCTGGGTGGAATAAACGTTCCACCTGCCTTTGAACTTGACCACGGAAGGCCTCCTTTAAAGAACAGAACTCTGTTCA